GTCACCCTGGCAACCGCCGGACCGCCCTCAGCGCGCCCGGGGAGCGGGGAACTACTCACTTGATTTGTTAATTAACGATTGCTGAAGGGCCTTGAAGTTATAACAGCCGGGAGCAGAGTCTGTCGTTCTGAGCAGGGAAAGCGCCGTTATGAGGCACCCCGAAGTGACATTTACGTGTTATTAGGTAAATAATAATGTTATTATGCCTGTATTAAAAAAAAAAAGCAGAAGCGTCACCCCGTAACGCCAAAAAAAAAAAGTAGTGAATAACAAATTACGAAAAACTTTATGTAGGCAGAGCTTCCCTCTTATAGCTCCCCGCTCGTGCTCTAAATTGACCGGCACGCCCCTCAGCTGCCTGTAACCAAAATGGCCGAAGCAGCGTCGCTCCCGCCCCTCAGCGCCCCTACCCAACATGGCGGCCGGCGGATAACCCGCCCCTCTCTGCCCTGCCCTAAGATGGCGGCACTGCCCCTACCCAAAATGGCGCCGGTGGCATCACCCGCCCCTCTCTGCCCTGCCCCAAGATAGCGGCACCGCCCCTGCCCAAATCGGCGCCGGCGGAGTCACCCGCCCCTCTCTCAGTAGGATGTCGAGTGCCACCGTGTCCCCGAGGTCCCCCTTTCTCCTGTCGGGATAGAAAGGATCCCCAGGCGTCTGCAGGCACGAGGGACTCGTCCAACTGGGATTTGCCTCCAGCCCATGGTAAGATGGATTTTCAGGGTCCAACGGGTCACGGGCCAGCTCTCCTGCTGGAGTTTTTGGGTGCTGGATTTGAACCCAAAGAGCAAACCTAAAGTCAGGTCTGTTCTGGAGTGTGTTCCACTTGTGCAAAGCTCCTTCCCTCTGTTTCTTTTCTGTTCTGGAAAGCACAGTCTGGGGGTCCCGGGCACTTCCTATGAAATGATGCCACGGAAATCATTTTGTACTGAGAGGGGGAAGGAGCTGTCTGTTGGAGGTCAGATGTCCACGATAAAAGCTCGATGTTTTTTCAGTCAGTGAGCTCTTAAAATCTCTTAGTGTGTGGGAATGCCTGGCTTCTAAAACTCACCAGCTGAGTCTGAGAGGTTTCTTTGCAGAGCTGTTTTCAGGCAGCAGAATTGCCCCCCCAGGAGGGACTCTGTGCCTGCTCTCCCGTGGCTCCAAGGGATCTCTGGCCCTTCACGCCGGCACCGAGATTTTCTCGGGAAGGGCCTCAGATCCCCGGACCAGTCTGGGACACAGGCAAGATCCCCCTGCCTTTGTAAATAAGGCCTTCTTGTGGCTTCCTCCCCATCCCTGTTGGGTGGGGTATTATTTGGTGTTTGGGATCTTAATCTGGGAGTCCAGGCTTGGAGGTTTCTTTGGCCTTGGGAACAGGTCTTTGGTTTCTTTTGTGTTCTGGGTACTTGAGGTTCCAAAGAAGGACTCTTGAAATGCCTTTTGGGCTGTCCATTGAA